GCCCTAAACGGCCCTAAACCCTAGGCTCCAAACGCCCAGTGCCTCCAAGGCGAAGAGAAGTGAGTAAGCCTGGAGAAGCTGAAGAGACATATTATTGCGCAATGCTTTGTTGCCCATATTCGTACGTACATATGCTGATATATAATGTTGTAATACCAACGCATATGTGCACAGTGTATGTATGTATATGAACGTGATTATACGTGTATATGAACAAATAGATTAATAAGTATATACATATATATATACACATACATACACGTAATGTAGCCAATTTCGGGGCTCAGGGGTTTGTAGGCGTCTTGTGAATGAGGGTTTTGGGATTCAGGTTGCAGGGTTCTCGGGCTCAGAAAATCCTACGAGATTCGAAGTGCAACTGTGCTGCGTGGCCCTCCACAAGGCCGTCATCTCTGACCTGGGTTCTGGTTAAGGAGCTTGATTCAAGCCACCTTCCCCAAGCGGTGAACAGACAGCTAGACAGATAGATTATGGTAGATTCATCGACAGACTGATCAACAGACTAACCGAGAACGAAAGACTAACAGAAAGAGAGCTCCCTCCCAAGAACCCAGTCGCTTGCTCTGTGCCGTCGATGATGGCGCTCATGAGGTGGGCCCTGGGCTCAAACAACATATTAAGACTTTGGTGCTGCGCCGATGCAGTATTTTCGTCAATCAGGGTACTGTTGACGGCCTATCTCTAGTCTATAGTGACATCATTATCCGACTGTTGCTGAGTGGGGCAGTCTCCAGGGTCAGACGACGGTCAACTTACCCTAAACCCTAAACCCTAATCAATCCGCCGGCTGGTTCTTGCTTGCTGCCGGGGCATCTTGCTTTTAACAACTAATTTTTACAAGAACCAAGTACCCAATTTTCCGCCAAAACCCTCTAATTAAGACCCAAGTCCACGTAGAATTTGGTCTTCTCCAGAGGATGGGTCTTATAGGAAGGTCAGGAATACGGTTTTAGGCGCATTCAGCGCATTGGACGGATCTGAGCGAACCTCAATACCCCAACGCAATCACAAGTATCCCTGTGCTCCCTCCGCCAACCGCCACCATCATCTCATCACAATCATCAGCTCTCTCGGAAGCGAAAAGAAGGGCAACGACAGCTTCACTGCCAGGCAACTGCAGGTTGTGCTCGCAAAGCTGCTTCCAGAAATCCTCCGGGTTGACCTGAAACTCGGGACTTCAAGGCCCAATGGGGCTCAGTAACTTAAAGAGTTCCTTTAAGGGGTCTATAGCGGGTGTGAGCGGGTTTTACGGTTTGGGTTGTGATTACTTAAAGGATTCATGGGACTTAGCAAGTAAGGTTATAGGTACGGTCATAACTAGGATAACCGGGACTTATAACCCCCAATTATGACCCTTCGTACTTATTCCCCTGAGCCCCTAACTAAGTCATGACGCTATTCCCTCCCTTTTCCTCGAACAATCGGAGACAATATAAACCAACAAAAAAAGTCGTTCCAAGAACCGAGCAATGGGCCAAAACCTAAACTTCACACCCCAAACCGCCTATGTCATTGTCGGGATCCGGGAACCTAAGGCTTTGCTGAATCCGAAGAATCTCTGCCTCAGGGGGCGATCGGGACTAGATGTCAGGATGCAGTGATAGTAACCCTTGAAGTTACCCTACAACGAAGGCAGAACAACACCTGCTAACACTGAAGCCGGAAACCAATACCGTCCTTGAAGACCAACAGTACCCGTACAGAGCACCACACCATCGGAACCCCAAATTACAGGTTCTGTGCAACCACGGCCCAGCACCGTGCTGAATTCACGAAGCCCTTGACTTAGCGGATCTTCAACGATCATGACCTTCGCTAGGTTGGCCCTCTTCACGCCTCTCAACAGATGCGTAGACGTGTTTCTCTTAAGCCCAACACGGAATGCCAACAAAAATAAACCCAAGGCCACCTGGTTCGAGCCCCTTCTGACAACATCTGTGCTGAACCTTCCAAATTGGAGACCTCCATCTTGGAAGAAGCCCCCCGGCCCTCTGGGTTAACCTCAGGGCTACTACCGAAGCCTAAACCCTACACCCTAAAAAGGACCTAAGCCACAAGCTCAAGATCCTCTACCCTTCAAGGGCCCTTAACCCCAAAGCCTAAACCCTAAAAAGCCAAACCCTAAACCCTAAACCCTAAAAGCC